CCCCCCCCCCCCCCTTTTTTTTTTTTTTTTTTTCTCCCCCCCCCCCCCCCCCCCCCCCATTTTCTTCTTCCTGTCAATGTCAATTGTTCTTCTTATTCTATATTTAATATTCTATTGGTGCTGCATTAGTATGTACTAGGTAGGTCTAGTGAATTTTTCATTTATTGTGATCTCAATAAGATTGTATAGAAGAGTTTTTGATGGAAACCAAAACTAATATCGATGTTTTCTGATATAATTGGAACTCTCGGTAGATGTAACTCAGATCGAAAGAATGGCTGAAAAGCATTCATGTAGTCTACCTCAATTTTATTGGGAGTTAGAGCAAACTTATTGTAAATTTTAATATGCTCAACTCTTGTGGAATGGTAAAATCAAAGATGTGGGAGCCTTTGCTGCTGTATCGCTTTGTTGGTACTTATTCCGTTACATCAGTAATGGTTTATCCACATGAGACTTTTTGAAGAAGTTACCGACCCTGGGTTCTCTTTGGTCCTTTTATTCGTTTAGATGGAATTTAGAAACCACTGTAAGATTATATGATGGGTAGTTTTGCTTTAATCATTAGTTCATGTGTCGGAATGAATGAAAAAACTTTTCAAGTGGCATTGTCATTCATTCACTCACATATTCCTAGATAAGGCTGCTCTGTGTGGGTAGTCCAAGAAAATGAGTATTTGAACATTCTACCAACTGCAGTTACATATAGCCAAAATAACTCGAAAAAAATCTTCCAATTTTCTTCTTATGTAATTTCTAGCTCTCCTGAGCTTAAGTATTGTTGGTGGCAGTGTGCTTCCGGAAGACGAGTGGTTTACTGACATTTGCCAAGATGCAATGGAAAGATTGAGTGGAAAACCCAAAGCTGCTAATGGGGAACATGACCTCAGCAGCCCGACTGCTTCTGTTTCAGCTCAATCGATTTCATCATTCAGATCTCATGGGAGTTCCTGAAGCAGCCCGACTGCTGCTGTTTCGGCTCAGTCGATTTCATCAGTCAGATCTCACTGGAGTTCCTGATGCTCGACCATTACGTATTGTAAAGCAGATAGGTTTTCATGGATTAGGAAACAATCTTGTATTTTCGGTAAATTTGTTTCTTCTTGTCAATTGTTCTCTCTTTTCTTTTACCTCCTTAAAAGTAGCGGTTGGAACTACAATTTTGTAGTTCTATAGTTGATTTGTTGCCAAGGTTGGAAATTTTTTGTTAACCAGTTAAGGAGCATTCGAGTTTGTACATGTTGATTAAATTATCTGTTACAAAATCAAGTTTTGCCTCATTCTTTCGATTGATGTGCACTAGGTGTCCCCCCCCCCCCCCCCCCCCCCCCCCCCTTTTTTTCTCTTGC